AACTACTAACTACGTACTACGTAGACGTAGAAGTACGACACGCGTACGTCGTACGTACGACGAAGTAGTAGTACGTAGTATAGTGTCGTCTCTCTCTCTCTCTCTCTCTCTCTCTCTCTCTCTCTATATATATATATATATATATATATATATATATATATATACCATGCTCCTAAGCAAAATGCAGAATATTGCCTCTCTCACTCTCTCATATATATGTAAATTAAACAAAATTGTTGCCGGAGCGCTAATTTCATCTATTATTACAACTCAACAAAAACTTCCTGACTAACTAGTGCAATATCCCTAGAAAATATCAAGCTCCAAGGTGTGTTTCATGAGAGGCCTTCTTCCTTTTCTGCCTCCCTTTAACTTCCACATTCCGATCTGTAAAATTTGAATGCCGAGCACGTATTTCTAAGAGCTTTGCCTTTGCATTTCTGAAAGGAGCATCAGACTTTGACCATAGTAATTGCTGCAACACAACAATCACAATTCACAATTCAATTTTAAAATTTGATATAAAACCATCCATTATACTTGTTCAGCAATGTTGTCACTAACCTTCAGATGGTCCATTGCAGCTAGATTGAAACCCAGTGTATCTTTGCATTCCTGGTAACATGAAAGATGGATTATAATAGCACAAGTACAGAAAAGAAGCAAGTTGCTTCTCAACAAATCAAAGAAGCTACTAAGGGCTACATAAGAAACAAATTTCCACTAATAAACAAAATTGAAGGAGCACCGATGGGCTTCAGCTGGCCGCATCAGACTATAAAATTTGCAAGATGCAATTTTTTTTATTTTTCTAATTTACGTAACAAAGTGAGATAAGGTGAAGACAGCATTGTAAAAGAGGAGTTCTACACAGCCAAAGAAAACAAAAATTGATTCTGTGATGCTCTGGTGAACGTGATTGCAGAACACCATCCTTGGATGCATAACAGTGCCAGAAAAAGCCACCCGACACAAACTTTGAAAGAAAAACAATTAGAGGATCAAATGGCAATAAAGTTAAAGATCCAAGAGCTCAACAAAATCTCAAAACAGAATTTGGTGACTTCATTCATGCTCACTCTTGCACCCCATTAGTGATAGAGTAAGAAACAGATCATAGACTACAAGTTTCTCTGAAATTCTAACCGTGCAGCATCTAGTGTAAGTCGAACCCAAACCAAGCCTAGGACAGCCTTCCACAAGCACACACACGAAAGGTTAGAGCTAGACAATCACACAAAGCATAGAAAACAGTCTAATGTTCACATTACACTCGCTCATATGCAGTCTGCTCATTTGCAGCCATAGATGCCCCTCAATAGTCTGCGTAAGGGTTTATATAGCCCTCGTGTGCTCTACAGACACCAGTTAACAGTTGCACCACCATAAATGCCCACCACCTGGTGCAGTAGTTGCAAACTCAAGCCCCATATCAATGGCTTATCACGGATCATTAAAGGTGGTTACTAGTCTGGTCAAGCCACTCCGCCAGTCATTACAATCTCATACATGCCCATTCTATCATGCATGGGCATTACAAAGCCAACAATGGCCATGCTAGCCCATTACATGTGCATTTACCAAACCTGACATGGCCTACGGCCATTACACGAGCCCATGTTTGGTACTGTTGAATAATTTCAATCCACACTTTACTGTTACTGCTCAACACTCTGAAAAGAGGGATAGTCTGGAAGTGAAAACGTGTTAATTTTATTGTACCTTAATTGTATTTTTCTTTTTTTTATGGACATTTAGTAAATGGAAGTATGGCCAAATGATATTTCTGTAATACTGTCATTATGGATAATGTTGTACATTTACACTTTAATATGAGACATCGCGTGATATCAGTGGAGACACATGAATTTTCCAAGTCCGTCCTTGGCTGTATAACACATTTTCTTGAAACCACCTTGGGATCTTAGATTTTTTACTAGGTTTGATGCATTCTAAAGCAGATCTGAAAGATCAAAAGTGTATTTAATATTGTATCGTAGCGCGTTCATTGAGTTTCAATTTGTCTTTTGGAGATCAAACTAGGGATTTGTACCCTATCTCTCTGCTGTGAAGTTTTGATTTAGTCTCTTGGTGACCAAATTAGGGCTTCCATACCCAATCTCTCCACTACAAAGATCCTTTGCACTCTCGGGTAAGTCTATAACTCTTTGATTCAAGGGATCCTCCGTCATATTTGATAAAGCATAAACCTAACTACCTTTCTCATTTTGTGTGAGATAAGTTTATAATTTTTTCCATTAAAATCTGGGGTTTTTCTCATTACTGTTCAAAGATTTTGATCAAGATTAGCCTACAATCAGTGTATGAGGTGGAGATCGGTTTCTACTACTGACCTCAGTTAGTATTTTGAAAAATGCTGATTTCTCTGTCAAAAATAATGGGCAGTCTACACTTATTTTCTTCTAGCGCTGGTTTTTCTTTGATCACTGTGTTATTAACTCCGGTGGAGATCAATAATTGCCATGGGGAATGAAACACCACCTGTTCTGCCTTCCAAACTCAAAGGGAAAAAAATATTTCCTCTGGACTTCTATTATGGATAACTTTTTAAAGGGTAAAGATTTGTCTGGAATAGTGGATGGTCTACACCTAGACCTGCAGATGGAAAAGGTTCTCAAAATGGAGAACTACCAACACCAAACCCAGATTCTCCAATCAGTTGAGGACAGCATTGCCCTAGAACTAGCCTCTTTTCAAAGTGGAAGGAGATGTGGTATTAGTTGAAGAAGATATACCAGGGAACTAATCATACTACTAAATTCTACTATATTGAGCAAGAGTTGATAAATTTGATGGTGGAGAATAGAAGCATAATGTGACGCCCCAAAAGAAGCTATGAGTTGTCCTTACGAAATTTGTACATATTGTACAATAGTCCCCTTTTTTTATCGCACTCGTCCAAAAGGTTTTAGAGAATTCTAGGAAACTCATAGAGGGTCTAGAAGTCTTCTAGATTGAAGGAACTAAAAAGGTGCTCTCTAGAACATTGCATGAATGAATATTCCTAACCATTGGATTAGTGACACTTGTACAAATCCCGACTATTCATTATAAGGCCAATTGCCTATATGAGGAGGAACCCTCATTTGGGAGGTAACTCAAAAAGTTGTAGGCATTTGACCACTAGTGAATACAGAACTCTTCCTATTCTATTGTGGCCCTCTCTCTCTCTCCTAGGTTGGTTTTCCTACTGCACCTAGTTAGTGCACACTTGTGTGTATTGGCTGACTTGTCTATAAAGGGTTGAGTGTACGACTGCCACATGGTCAGAGTGCGGGGTTTCACTAAGGCTGAGACAAGTGGTATCTGAGCCAGGCTTGTAGGAGCTACTAAGCTTGTGGATCCCAAGACACCTTGGCTGCTTTAGAAAAACGGCTTGCGCTGCTGGAGCTTGCCGTGCCTGATGGATAGGACCAATTTATGGAAATTGACAACAATATAGAGGGACTTGAGGCAGGGCTCAAGGACCTCAAGTGCCTTGAATGAGATGATGGATGCTCACCAAAAGGAGAAAGAATCCTCTGAGGACAAGGTGATGGCATCCCTCTCAAAGCTACAGGATCAAGTTGAAGACCTAAGAAGTGACTTGGCCTGTGCAAGAAAGCTATGAGCAATGGAGGCCTTTGGCCCAAGAGACCCCCAAAGTATGCACACCTGACCCTAAAACCTTTAATAGGCGGAGGGGTGCCTAAGAGTTGGACAACTTCTTGTGGCAGATGGAGACGTACTTTGAGGCCATCTCCTTAAGGGACGAAAGGTCAAAGGTACATGCTGCTACCATGTAAGCCACACTTTAATGGCATAGAAGGCACGCCGATGCCGAGCAGGGTAGTAGCATGACCGACCCTTGGGAGGAATTTAAGAGGGAAATCAAGAGACAATTTTATCCTGAAAAAGTTGAATACTTGGCCCATAAAAACTTGAAACAATTAAGGCATATTGGTACCATTCGTGACTATGTCACGGTATTCTCCACCCTTATGTTGGAGATCCCGACACGGCCGAAAAGGACCTATTCTTCAACTTCGTGGATGGTTTGGAACAATGGGCCAAACAAGAGCTTCAATGACGTGGAGTAAAAGACCTTGCCTTGGCCTTGGCTGTGGCCAAGTTGTTGGTGGGGTTCAGAAGGAACGACCCTTCAAGAGTAACCAAGGCAAAGTTGGAGGAGGTCGAGAGAGTCTCTAGCCACAAAGAGGGACCTCGCATGCCCTCAAGTGCAAAGGATGGTAAATAAGGAAAAAATTACAAGGACACATGAAAGTCACAAAATGTAAAGTGCTTCATTTTTGATGGACCACATTGGGCATGGAAACGCCCTAAAGAGAAAGGCCCTTAATGCCCTCACGGAAAGGTTGTATGACCCCAAGGAAGCGGACAATAAGGAGTCTCAGGTAGGATCGCTGCAAACCATTAACGGAATAAAAGTTGAGATTGAGAAACATATGCAGGAAAATTTGAGAAAACAATAAAATCAGCAAGAAATTTCTGCCAAACACGTGCAATTTTGAGCGAAACCCTAACGTTTTCTCCCCACCTAGGGCTCAAGCCTTAGGCTTCTTTTCTTTCTTCTTCAATAGAAGTACGTTTTTCTCTTAAAAAAAGTGCATGATTTACCTCCAACCATCCAAGCCCCACTTCAATCTTGTCTATTTAAAGTTATGGACAATATTTGTCTATAAAATGAAACTAGAACACTTACATACGTCCAAGAATTACAATCAAAAATCAAATAAATGGATTCTCACTGGCTGCCACTTTTCAAAAACTCTTCATTACATAATCAAGATTACATTAATTGAGATTGGTAATCGAGATTGGGAACAAGAAAGCATAAAACAAGACAATGTGCCAAAAGATTACCTCTAGTGGACTTTGCACACCTTACACCAGATCTCCTCTACCAATGGCGCATGAAATCTAGGTCTTTCTTGAATCTCAGCAAACGGGAAGTTAGGCTAAACCCTTACTTAGTACTTGAGAGCAAGCACATGAAGATGGGCCTTTCTTTCTTCTCTATCTATGTGGGGCATGCCCCCTTTTGTGTTTGAAATCCTTGGGGCGTGCCCCTTTCTTTTATACTTCGAGAGTATGCGTGTGAGAGAGAGAGAGAGGAGTACAGAGAGAGAGGTTGGTGTGCCACCTATGAGGGAGAGAAAGAGCTCAAGGCTATGGTGTGTAGAGATGACCCCCCATAGAGATGTCTCATAGTAGTGAGGCTAAGATTAGAGTTTTTAGGGTTTAGCCATCCTTATAGAGATTTCATCTAGATTATAGATCATAGGTGGCATGTGAGGTGACAGATCGTACCCATACAATCTATAGATCAGCCATCATGATCTAATAGAAGGTGTTATAACCTTATCTCTTAGCTTCCTTAACCTAATCATATCAAATATTTTGTGTAGAAAAAGTATATTATGCATTGTTTTTATTTTCAATTAATTGTTTACATATTCCCTTCTTGAAATCAATTAGCCTCTTTCACAAAATTTTTTATTTCACGAGAAGTCAATTGCATGGTTTATTGCATAAGCCACACTATATGGAATGGGGACAAAAGTGGGGCATCCCACTTATGGAGGCATAGTGAG